CTTCTGTATCTTTTATCTCGCCATATATTCCTCAAAAGTCCCCTTGATTGAGAAGAAATTGGTCAATTTTTGGGCTCTCGGCGGTTCCTTTCCCTTTGTTTCTTCACTATCATCCACTTTTATTTTCAAGCAAAATAACCATGATTCTGGGCGTGTCTCTAATGAGCCCTCTGCACCACAACTCACACCCGGTTGGTTCAATGTATCCACACGAGGCAGGAATTTGGAAAGGAAATGAAGTGTGAGACCATGGAATATGTCGGGATACGCTTTTTTCGGTGTGCGCTTCTCAGTTCGGTGCACAGGAGGCTCATTTAGCCACTAATTACTCGGACAAACCAAATTTGGCCCCTCTTGAGTGCTCCACTTAAGATACAGAAACCAAGGAACCCATTGAACGAGTTTTCCGGTCGAACACCTTCAGCACCATTACCTGTTCATGAACTCCAACACAACAGTCCGCTGTGGTTTCGCTTTCGGAGCCATTTACTGCTGCGTCACAGTTGAACGACCGGTACCAGTTTATGCGAAAACATGATCACAAATCTGCCGTGGAAGGATAGCGTGTTAACCGCTCATCGACCATGATCCTGGGGAAGTGGGATATGCTGCACACGATTTGGCGCTTTAGTGAGCCACTCAAAGGCAGATTGTGGCTTATAGTTAGGAGAGAGATTTTTGCTGATACGAATTAGATGAAGGACGAATTCACGATTGGAATGAAGGTCGGAGAAAGAATAATTCACCTAGTTGAGGGACCCCGCAGACCTCCTAAAGGTGCGGACTGAAGCGCAATTGGCACCGAAGGAGTTGACCTCCGCGACCTATTAATGCTCAATCTTGGCGCCCGTGGGCCAAGCATCACGCGCCCATCGCGATCATCTGATCAGCTCAACCGCAGAGTCTGTAGGGCGAGTGATCTCGAGCTAACCAGATAGAGACGCGTAGCGTTGCACCAGAGAGGCACACGATTGATACCGCTCATGGTCAAATCAACGGGCAAGGAAGCGGTCCCATTTCTCGGGTTTTGGACCGTTTCTCACTGTTTCAGGCCAGAACATCTGATCACAAAGTAAATATTCTCAAAAGAGTGGTAACTATCACAGTGATAACTATACAGGTTTGGTTCGTTCACTGGGATCGTTCTATTTTGTTTTTTTTTTTGAGTTTCGGGGAACTGAATAAGATTAGGCGCTCCACCGGAAGAGTAGGAGCCAAGTGTACGAGGTCCTGGGATGCCGTTGCTACTTTTCAAAAAGTTTTTACGACCCCCCTCCCTCATGAAATGTTTCATACGACCCCCCTCTTCCAAACAATTTTTACCCCAAAAAATTACCGTCGAGCGGGGGGGGAGGGTATATACTTACAACCATAAAACCGCAAAAATTCCCTACATTTCCCTACAATTTCCATGTATTTTACCCATATTTCAACTGCTCCATTTTCTAGGGTGGGGGGGGGGGGGGTATATACGCGCTGAAACGGCAAATTTTCTCCCGCGCCGCTCCCCACTCATCACATGCAACTTCTTACAACCGAAGCAAGTACGACCCCCCTCTACAAACTCATCAAAATACGACCCCCCCGTTGCTACTTGTAGCAACATAGGGTTGACCCTGGGAAGCTAGAACTTTGAACCGGTTTCAGGTCCTGAAGACGACGGTTTGTCGAAACGTTGACCAATAAACGGTTCCACCATAACAACCTGTGCGGCACAAGAAGAAGAAAAACACACAATATCGAGATGCCCAGGTTCCAAGAAGACCGAACATGGCATTTAAAAGAGTGATTTTTCGAGTCCATGATTTTTGCGGACTGTCTTTAGTATTCTTCAATCTAATTCAGCTGAGTTTGTTATGCTAAAACATGGGAGCAAAAACAAGCACAAACCCCGCGCGCTAAGACCTTGATTCTTGAGGCAAGGAGCAGACACACAGAGCACCAACACATATTCTTCAGGCGCACCCAGCGTCTTACCTGCGTGTCAACCGCTTACAGGGTGTTCCATAAATACTGCAACACATTTTGAGCTTCTATTGTGTGGGTGTCTGTAGTCCTTTTCCCAAGGTTGGCATACCTTCACTTCCTATGACCTCTTGTGAATAACCTTGCCGAAGTGCACGGCTTAGCATTCGTTGGCTACCCAGCTTTATTGGTGGGCACCCTAACACTGCAAAAACGCAGTTCCTTAATCCTGATCAATACAGCTAGGTCGGACCACGTCCGGATGATTAACATCGCGCTTCTTTGGATTTTCAACCGCTCCTTGGCCTACCGTGTACTGAAGAGAAGACCAATGGAAGCAGTCTTTGTTGCGGCCGCCCCACAAGTTCTGACATCTTGGATCTCAGGAAAAGCACGAAAGAAGCGAAACGACTGCAATACCCGGGGGCTCGACAAAGGTGACCAGAACGCTGGAGTTTCCAAACACAGTTATGTAGAGAGTGGTCAGATAACAACCGCTCACAGTCCATTATAAGCTGCATAAGCACCACTGCTCAATCCTACGGAGGAGCACAGCAGAGACAAAAAGTTCAAAGAGCTGGTGTCGAGGGCCGAAAATGGCGATTGCGCGGGCATCGTTTTCATCGACGACAAAATTCCTCACATGGAGCAGAGCTACAATCTTCAAACTTCGAGGATGCCCGCATGAGGTCATGTGGAAGCCAGTGAGAGTGAAAGAAATATTCGCCACAAGCACCAGCCAATCTTTTATCACAATTTGGGCAAGGGTCTCAATCACCATTCTCTCACCACAAGTGTCCGTTTGACCAAAAGCGAATGCGAGCTCCGATATCAGACCCTATGCCTAACGAATTCTTCCACGTGCAACCCAGTGTTCGTTCGCTGACGGGATCTGGCTCTCCAAAAATAGGAATGACAATTATTTTGAAGTCACGCCGGCCTTCGCATAAGGGAAAAGTTGTTTGACTGTATACTCATGATGCCGTTCCCGATTTCACATCCTCAAACAAATTGCTCTCATATCTCTCGATTTCAACCTGCTGGACCATCCTATTTGGGCTATATTAGGGGACAGGGCCTGCACTAAATAATGCATCCAAACAGAGGAGCTGAAGCCTTTTCTCTAGAAAGTTTCGAAGAAGGAACTCCAGTATGCCCTGCGGGAAACACCAGAGTGCGTTTGGAGCAACTGGAAGCCATACTCACAGCGTCAGGGAGACTTATCGAATAAATGTCATTCCTTTCAACATCTTAAGGACGGACTAAGAATAGTGTGTGACCACTTGAAGTAAAATATGTACGTCCACTTTGAGAGAAGTTAACAAAAGGAAAGGGTTTGGCAGTTATTAATTACTGGAACTCCCTGATATTGGCTTAAGCTAAAGCCCGAACATTCATCGTGATGGCCTGCGGAGACAGTAACCAGGACTGAATCTCGATCCCAACCTTTATTGCTTTAGTGAGATGAGCGACGCAACCAATTTTTTTTAAGAAGATTTGCCGTCGAGTTCCCTTTCAATGGATTCTAGTCTACTTCGGTACGATTTCAATATCTTGACTTTATTGTGATTCTGACCCTTCCCTGTGATTCTAAGTACGCCCGGCACAAAACGCACTGAAGGTAAGGGACTAATTCATGAAAACAATGAACCTTTAGGGGTTTTTGTTCACGTCCCAAGGAATTTTCGCTACCTGAGTACGGCCCTGTGAAAGTCAACAAGTGCAGTTCTCATCCGCTCCTCTGCCTGAGAATAGTTATCTCATGCTAGCGTGCCTCGCACGCACAAACTTTTGTCATGCCGGAGTGCTCCTCCACCCACGTCAATTCCTTCAGTTTCCTGGCTCACGTAGCTGTTAAAAGTTACAGAAGTTGCCGACCTCCAACCATCCCCGCCGTTCTGGTTCCTTCTTCCCTAAGGAACAGAGAAACGTCCAAATAACCAACGTAAATCCAGGGTCATGGTGCCATAGTTGGCGTCCGAGTGACTCAGATGTCAATACACAGCATTATAGCATACCCAGGCCACTTTACAACGGAATTGTGATTTTACATTCGGAATGACAATAGCAGCGAACCTCCACACGAAAATTTCGCGCTCAAGAGCCAATTATCGCGATGGGGCGTGGAACATTGATTTGCCCACATTTTCTCTCATGTCTGAGCTTCTTTTCTTGTGGTCGTTGTCGTTTTCTGTATCCGCAAATTCGCACTGTACTCGTTGACTTTAGTATGGATGGTATTTTGTGGCTTCGAGCTCGAAAACAGTGAAGTCTCGTAAAGCATAAAATTGCACAGCAAAGTAAGAAAGTACGTTCCCGCTTTTGAAAAATGTTGTTGTTGTGTTTGTTTTTATAATAATTCGCCTGCGCATTGATAAACATTAAGGTGAAGAAATTGAAGCGAAAGCGCGCTTCGGATCTGGTTTCGAATGTTGCTGACGCAAAAGGTGATAGTGATGACAGCAGTGAGGAAAACCTTGGTTCGTGGATCAACATTATTACGTTGTTATTTTTCTTCACTGCTAATTTGAGTTTTGTTTGTCTAACAACAGAACGTATATCTTCTTTTAGTAGTGCGCAAACCTCTAACGGTATGTTATGTAAGTAGGTTCCAATGGAAAAGACGCCCCCGTTCCCTTCCCCGGATGAGCGTCGGCTTGCGAGAATAGAGTTTTTTCCTCAACTATCTCGCCGATGTGCTGTGACTCGGAAAAGTAGGAGGAGTACGACTGAGCATGTGCTATGTATGAAGGTTTCTCCTACGAATATATCTTCCACGAAGGCTTTCGTGGTTTCAAAGTTGATGGACGGTTGCTTTAGATTAAATATCAGGAGCATTTTTCTTATTTAATGTCCCATGCAAACCACGATTACAACAAGAACCGGTCATGGAATTTGGGAGCCTCACTAATAGCCGCTGTTATTGTGAAAATGGTCTTCTACATTCAGGTCCAGATGGTGGCACTTCTGACTCTGAAGAACTAGTTAAGGATGATAACGACCAACATCTTGATTTCGATATCGAAGCATTTCCTATGGAAGGTGATGATCGTGATGGAGTTATTAATATGCTCACGCAGGTAAATCTTTCATCCTTTTCTGGTCTGCTTGACTGGCCCAACTCACCCAAGTTTATAAAATACATTCAGGTATTCCTGAAAGCTGATGTTGACCTAGGTTCACTTGCGGATGCGATTATTGCGCAAAGCCCTTTTGGATTGGTGATCGGGGTGAGGATCTTTATCTAGTTCTCTTTTCTCCATTAATTCTAAGACATGCATATTTCGATTTTTTTTCATTGCGGGTTTATAGTTCTCGATGTTGTGCTGGGGATTTTCTTAGAGTGCGCACATACTTTGTACGTTGCAGTATGAGTTTGCGACAATCTCGAGTTCAAGTGTGGAGAAGATACGTACTAGTCATGGATACTATCTACTCCTCACTTGAACTCGAGACTGTCGCAAAGCTGTTGTTCACATTCTAAATGGCAACAGTCGCGAAATATGATGCCTATGAAAGATGAGAGCATTGGTACAAAGTGGTATGACGTTCGAAAAAAAGTAAGGGGAGTGGTCAAAAACCTCAAGAGCGCAGCCCTTCCCGGTCGACGGACCATAAATTCGGTCCTATTAAACCGCCTCAATTTGATGCTCCCACCAGGGCACTCGCCTAAACAACGGCCTAAGAGTACAGTAATCTAAATTCGAAGGTGGTCGAGCAGCTCTTGTTTCGTTCGCGTGAAGGTAAACATTCACGTTAGTCAATAGGCAGTCGTTGCTTCAATGGCCAGTGCAACAGTACGTTTGGAAAAGAAAGTCGAAGTCGGAAAACAGTGATAACAGTTTTATTCCAAACACATTGCTGTTGTCTTTCCTTCCACGTGCCGGCGGTGGGTGTGCCTGATGGTGAGAAGCAAAACTGCTTGACACTCAACTATCCTCCGGTACATATTTCTTTTTCATGACCACACGACTTGTTGTGGTTTTGTTTTGAATAGGAAGAATAATGATAATCACAGTTGCTATCAATGTTTTCGTTTCAGCCAGCGGAAGACCAAAGTGACGAAGACAATGCGAATGTTGTATATGGGCTTGTTGTCTATTGCCAAACTGAATCCTGTAAAGGTTAGAGGTTTCCGGAACTGTTAAGTGATAGTGTCATATAATTCAAGCTATCTTTTCAGAATGGCACTTCGAAATACGCCAAAGAAGTGCTCGATTTCATAGAAGAGAAGTCAAGAAAATTCGCTCTGAAGAGTTTCCGTGATGCTTTTGGGGAAGCCAGGCCCGATCGCCTCGGACTTTTTATTAACGAACGAATGCTCAATTTCCCCACTCAAATCGTCACACCTTCCTTCAAAAGTATTCAGTATGTTTTCATGGATTCCATTCTTTCTGTGATATTCGAATTGGTCTTAGAGGATTTGTTGAATTTATCCAATGACCTTATTTGAATAATTTAAAGATTCTAGATGTAACTTATCTTTTGAACGTTTTAGGAATGACTTGCAAAACATGAAGAAACCGTATCAAAAAATCGTATATATCCATAAACTACGAATAGCAGATTCAGAAGCAAGCACACCTTCACTTAAAACGTCTGACGCGAAAACTTCCAAAAAGAAAAAGATGGGCAAAGCTGAAAAGGTTTGCATCATAGCATTTGATCCAGAGGATTTTAACACATTATTCCATGAGGTTTGGCCCCTTAATAGTGCTCTATTCCACAGAATCCACAACATGTTCATCTTTTTCCAGCTTTCTTTCTTCTAATTATATTCAGGGTCTCAGTAAC